TCCTCAGTTGGGCGAAGGTTTCAGGCGAAAAAGATTGTTGCGCCGCCGTATTACCGAGCTTGAGGTCGGAAACAGGGCTCAAGGTAAAGCCAATGCTAGACGGCTGGCAAGTTGTCGGCCCTCGTCGTCATTGCGGCCGCATGCTGTCATAACGATAAGCTGTAGGTTTTCGATTGACCAAGGATGCGCCTAGTTCTCTCTTTACCGACCAAGTCATTTCCGGATACCTTGGAGAGGTCTCGGAGGAATACAGAACCGCTCAGTTTTGCCGGTATGGCAAGATTCGATGTATCAACCTAATTAGACTTGTCAGCAAGGAGCTTCTACTATCGACTCATATCTCGCCATAGCGGAGGAGGGAACTGTACCGTCAGGAATGCCGCAGTGCTAGGGTCTTTTAGGGCAACAGGACTATCGGCGTCAATAGGAGTGAGAAGAGGGATAAGGAGAAAGCGACGGCCCAGTTGAGCCCCTTGGCGGGCCATTGTGCAGTCGATGACGATTCCAGGCTGTATACCTAGTTATAGAGCAGTAGCGCCAGGAGAGAAAGTGGCGTTGTTTCTGATGAAGATAAATATGGACTCGTTGTATCAACAGATATCTAATCAACAATTTCGTGGGATGAAGCGGAGAAATTGGTGAAGAGACGGGCAAGTAGACGGATCGTCTATATGCTATCTTTATATGAATACATTTACCGAACGGCCAACATAATGGGGAAACGCAGGTGGTAACCACAGCGACAACAGCTTATAGAAGGATCTAATTTAGACATCGTATTTTAGCCACGACCTAGACTAGTATAGGCGGATGGCCAACAGTCAGTTCAGAAAGCCGGTAAATCGAGATACAATAGAGTCCAAGCACCAAAAGAATGCGACTTTGTAATATGGAATCTTGTAAAGGAAGGCAAGCAAATAGAGCTAAGCTAACAAGTACACGGGATAAGCGCCGGGTTGACTTTCTCAATGCAAATACTTGGTGTCTTACAAGATTAATATTATAGAGGGCGTTGGTATACTGCTTTCCTTGTAGGTGTTCTTTTAGTGGCCTTGGGCTTTCAAGCGGGGGAAGTCAAGCTGTAGACATTGCCTTCGTCTAGTCGTGAAGTGACCATTTGCCAAATAACGAACAATCGGTACTATATAAGGTAATCAACATCCCCTCGCTTTTGAGGCGCCGTACGTTTTTAGAGGAGATTGGCGGATCATGTACTTCGTTTTCCCGTTGCCAAGCGAAGTCAGTAATAAACGTCACTACTATCATGTATAGCAGGTATTAATGGAAAGCGCACCGGTACCCGCCGGCCGATAATATTGTCCGGGCATAAAGCCGTCCCGAGTATGTACCTACCTAAATAGGTACGTAGTGCATCGTTCCCCGCCTTGAACAAGGGAATAGGTCAGTTCCTTTCAATAACCAAATTCGTCGTTATAACTTATACTTCATAATACTCGCCCAAACAACTTATTTCTCATCCCCAATTAAGAAGAAATGACGTCCACAGCAGAAGAAACACCCCTCGTAGAAGTCATCAGCGACCCCGCCGACTTCGCCGACGCATATCGCTGTTGCAGCGAAGCCTTCGGGCGACAGGTCAACGACGCGACCTGGATAGGATTCAACCCGACCTGGGACACGCCCGAAGGGCAAGCCGGAGGGGCCGAGCGCATGGCGAAAAGATGGCAGTCGACGACAACCGACGACAAGGGTAATCCTCACACGATATTTCTCAAATCCACGGTACCGGACCCGGGCCGGCCCGGCCAACGCGTCATCGCCGGTTTCGCCATCTGGATCCAAGCGACGGCGATACCGGGGGGACAACACGGCGACCTGATCAGTGATAACCCGGACGAGATGCGCAAATTGCTAAACCTGGAATCAATATATCCCGGCAACGAGACGGAGCAGAGGTTTATCCTACAGTTGTTCAACTCGCTGCTTAAGCGCCGGCACGAGTTCGTCCGGGAGAACCCTCCTTCCGTCATGGTGCTTGATTTATGTGCGACTCATCCGGCTTTTCAGCGCAGAGGGGTGGCGTCGCGGCTGGTTCAATGGGGTCTGGACGAGATGCGTCGGCGGGGGATTAAGTATGCTACGACGGAGGGGTCTGCTATGGGACGACATGTGTATAAACGATTGGGTTTCGAGCCGGAAGGAATAGATATAATGTACGAGGTCGACGATGAGTTTGCGGACCGTGAACTGCCGCCGAATTTGTTCATGATTCACTCGAGTACTTAAGTAGGCAGATTATAGATAGGGTAACTCGGGTGAAAGAAACCTGTCATGTCCTCTCCTGCCTACCGTTGCCTTCTGTTTCCATGAACAATTAATACTACTTGAAGTTTAAATGTTGAATCAGCAAAGTGCTAACCCTAGGTACGTCAATTATCTCTAACCCTGGGGTTACCTACTTGTACATAGAAGTAACTTTAGGGTATGGTATATGGTACAAGCCATATTTCTTCGAGTAGGAGTAGAGCGCTACAGGTGCCATTCGGCTCGCCCCGAGCCGCTCCTTGGGCCCTGTGCGCTGATTTGTACAGTATGAATTTACAGAAGCTAGTTAGTGAGCAAACGCACCAACCGTTAGATACACGTACGAGTAGATTGTCATCATTCAATCTTGGTCTTACTTGCATCAGCGAAGTCGTTCACCTGTCATGAGAATACTGTATTTGCATCTTGATGAACCGAAAAGGCTCCCATGCCTGTATTAGGGACTCTGAGTTTTGGAACCGCGTAACCTAGGCTCTAGTTTAGGTTAAATGCGTTTCTACGTGTACAGGGCTTAGAACGACAGGGGGATGACACGCGATGCTGGTACGTGGGCAATGATCAACCGCCGTGATAGGACCCCTTATTTGATGACTTGCATTTCAACACGTGATCTTTTATTTCATCTGTCACTTCATGCAACTTTTACTTCCGTCCACACCGGTTTCACATGAACGATACATGCCTCTCCGATGGCGTACATTTTTAACTTTCGAAGCCAGCTGGTATATGATACGAGTGTATGGCATCCCGATCGTAGAGGCCTTGCCTATCTTGAGGCGTCGGAGTATTGGGAAAAGGGTGCGTAAAAGTGGTAAATTGTGAAAATAGCCAGAGCATTCCTCTCTTCTCTCTCTTGGCATGTTCTAACAGTAATCACAGATAAAACTAGATATGATCTTCGCCAAGGGAACATCGAAGATGATGAATTGGAGGCGTGGCTGGACCAGTGCGGCAAGTTCCGGGCAACCCCAAAATTGTCGATACGCCTACTGCTCTGTGACAGAGTGGGTTATATACCGATGGGATTCGCCATGTCAAACTCTTCCTTCGACAAAATAAAGCAGGCTTTCAGCCTAGGCGACCAAGTACTACCCATGTTCATTAGCAACATGGGGCAGGAGATGTGTAGTCTGAACTTCTCTCCGGAGGGCGACGTCCCAGAAACCCTCGGTAAGATGATCTTGATTCGATACATACCCTGTCGGCACATTGCTGAGCCGCCCTATCATCACTAGAATTTACAGTCAAGTGGCCTCAGATGCACCGGTTGGGAAACTGTGGCCTCACTTATAAGCATACCTTCTCTACCCGTCAGACAGTAGGCTTCTTACATGGCTGGGACATGGTTACACAGACGGCCGAGATCACATTCGAGAATGAATTTCACTCGTACCTATCGAAATTTAGCTCTCGCATCGAGTCAGCAGGGTCCGTTCGGTCACATCCCATGTTCCTGGCCATAGTTCATCTTTCCATGCACGTTTTCCACGCCGATATATTTAGGGCCCGTCTAAAGTATGATTTAGGAAGACTAGAAAATGACTTAGGCGTGACCAAGGTCGCATGGATGTCGGGGCTTCCGACTACCAATTTCGACGGAATCGAGAGGCTGATCTCCAGCCGTAGACAACGCATGAGCCTAACGACAGAGCTCAACTCGCGCACCACCGACACCGCAAAGTTCATCACTGTCCTGCAATGGATTAATCGGCACTGCGAGTATATTCAGAAACATACCGAAGATATACGGCGCATAAATCCCTATTCCACCGTGGCTGAAAACAGAGAAATAGAGCGACAACTAGAATACGTCACCTCCCAGGCCCGGTCCCATCTCGAATCTGCGGAAGAGTTCAAGTCTAGGCTTGAACTCCAGCTCAGCGTGGTAAGAATTATAATTTTTCTTTTTCCTAACGCCATCTATTCTAGTCACTAATACATACTGCAGTTGTATAACTTTGTAGCCCAAGTCGACAACGACGTCAGCATGCGTATCGCCTATCGCGCCGGCCTCGATGGCACGGCGATGAAGGCCCTCGCCTACGTGACCACGATATTCCTGCCGCCCACATTTGTGGCTGTAAGCCAATTTGCCGATCCCCGAAAGTGAAACAATGTGAATTGACACACGCCAGACGTTATTCAGCATGTCCATGTTCGACTGGCAAGCTACTACAAACTCGGACTCGGACTCGGACTCAGACTCGAAGTCAGTTGTTCTGGTACGCCAGTTCTGGATCTACTGGGTTGTTAGCGTGCCTCTGACGCTCGCCATCTTCGCCGGCTGGCGTATCTGGTGGCGTTACCAGAAGAGCGTACTGCAGGACGAATATGGGATGAAGCAGTGAAGGGAAGAAGACGATTCGGACGCAGACGAAGATGAAGACAAAGACTAGCTCAAATTCCAGCATTAGGGGCTGTTTTCGCGCTTAACACGTGGTAATATTGGGTATTTATCCCATCATCCGTTTCCTACCTTGCCAGCTTACCATATATTAGGTAGCTTCTGAATCGTCTGCAACTAAACCTGTAAGTAAAGCTCCTTCTCAGCCACTGACAGTCCACATGTTTAGAAATCAGCACTGACAATACACAACAGCAACATTTTCTTTTCTTACCACGATCAACTGAGCATACATATAACCCAAGTGACAATCTTAGTGCTCTGAGTATTTTGAGTTACTGTTGTGCGAAATCCATCATCAAATATTACTGCCTCTATGGCACAGGGGTAATGCGTGTCACTCGTACAGCTTCAAGCATGAGTGTGATGACAAGATCCGCGGTTCGATTCCGCGTGGAGGCAGATATTTTGCTTTTTCTTGGTTCTTACATTTTTAATGGCGAGTATTGGACTTGACCTTGTCTACAACATTGAGCCGTCGGACATAAACCGAGCTACAATTTACCTTCCGGAAATCGGGATAGAGTTCGTTTAAGAGGGAAAGGGAGGAAGACCAATACCCAAGCCTCCTCTTAGGCGCCCCCTTTTACTCCGTCCACGGCCCTTAGATACAGTAAGGAGGGCCGCTACCCTCGAGCGATGCGTAAATGGCCGAGATAGACTGGGCAAGGTCTTCGGGGAGCGGCCCAGCCTCGAGGGCGTCAAAGGTACGGTGAAGCTGTTCCACGCTCGACGCAGAAAACAGTATCGCGTCTCCATACTGTCCGTCAAGAACACTGTGAAACGCCGTCCAACGCACGGCGGCCGCATGACCGCTGATTCCGTGCGCTTGGGCAGCCTCCCGGACCGACGACACCGCCTTCTGCACAAGAGGCTTCCCGTATAGCATCTTGTAGAGCGCCCCTGCCGGGTTCTTCTCATTTCGTTAGTATGATCTTGCCGCTTTGATTTCTGGGGGACCATTTACTGACACTTTCACTCCAGCGTGCCGAGTTTGGAGATGTCTCGGTTTCGGCTCTGAAGAGACCACCGGCCGCCGAACTAGATAATCCCCAGTTTTATAATCAGCTTCTCTCCCTTCCTCATATTATTATCTCCTTCAACCCATGTATTATGCCGCCTTACCTATAGGCATAAAAGGAAATCCCATGCTCGCGAAGAAACGGGATCAAATCCTCCTCGGCACCTCTGACAACGGCATTATAATGTCCCTGATACACACTCGGCTTGACATAACCCCTTTCATGACAGATATCGACAAAGCGCCGGACCTCGTCAGCAGAATAATTCGATAAACCAAACCGTTTAAATATGCCCTGTCGGAAAGCGACGTCCATGGCCCGCGCCGCGTCCTCGAACGGCGTCTGTCGGTCCGGCATATGGAGGTATAACGTCTCGACGGAGGAGACGCCAAGATCGGCGAGTGATGCGGCGATACTTGCCGCGATCTTGTCTGGCTCGTGGTCGCCCGGTGTTCCGCTCTTCACTTTGGTGTCGATGGTGAAGAAGGAGTGTCCGGCTCGTCCTAGACGTTCCTCGGCACCTTGGTAATTCCGTGCTGTGTCGAGATGTGCGTTGTGGCTGCGGCTGTGGAATGCGTCGAGTAAGGCCTGGACATCCTCGATTGAGTCGAAGTGTGCTATTCCGGGATTCCGGGTTGAGTCGCCGACCTAGATGATAGTGAGTGGGTTGAGCTAGCTGTCCCTTTGTTCATGAATATAGCATAACATACCATGTGCGTACCCAGCACGAATTTGACAGGTTGTTTAGAAGACATATTGTATCAAAAGTGAACTGGGTTTGATACGCGAGCTATGCATAGAGAAACTATCATTAGATGAAGCCCTCCTCGATTCCACTACCTACCTACTTTATATCAGAAGGTCTACCTAATCTACGTCCTTTTTCCTTTAACACCCATCTTTTTCTAGCGCTACTCATCTCTGTACAAAGGAATTTCATTATGGTTCCAGGAGGCAGGCCTTTAGGGGTTGGGTTTGTCTTCTCTCGCGCCGGACACCTCGTTAAGGACGAGGGTTTCGGGGGGTGGTATGTCTTCTACCAGAAATTCTAGTATTCCGTCTTTCTCTCTCGTGGAATGATTCTTTTCCAAACCAGATTTTCGCCACTCAGCCCGAACCAGACATTCTTTGAGACAAACAGTGTTTTTATTTTACGCTTTCAACCCCGATGGAGAATGTCTCAGGGAGCGGAGCAATCGTCGTACTCGCAGAATTACCCTCGTTTGAAAATATGGTCGACCTGGACAATGTTTGATGCCCGAAGTCCCCGGGAGCAAGGTCACTTGCGAAGTACCTAGGGATTGTTAAACAAGGCCGAGTTTACTAAGGATATTTACGACTTCCGACCCGGTCTCAGGAGCCGCATCCAGGCGTGAAGGCGGTTACAATAAAGTAGTGTCGCTATGGCGTCTTCGACTTAATATATATCTTGTAAGTGCCTTAAAGTTACACCTAGCTATGCAAAACTAGACAAAGGAATGGAGAATAACATGCACTCGGTCTTGCCTATGCTTTTCTTGGTAGCATGAGCGTTTTGAAGTATCTGCAAATCAAGAAAGCTAAATGTTTTTAGACTAAAGCATTTAAAAAAAAAAAAAAAAAAAAAAAAAAAAGGCAACGTTAAAGATCATAGAAGAGTGGACAAGCAGCTGAGGCGGTAAATTTGCCAAAAAGGAAAAAGAAGAACGTACAACACTGGGGATTCGCTGGTCGTCACCGACCCAACTACTAGTCCAGCGGTATGCAGCTTAGCTATGGGGGAGCGGACGGGACCCCGCGTTCTCTGCATCCTATGGTCGTACGTGAAAGAATATGTTATTGTTAGCATTTATATCTCTACTATGGAGGGCTTTGGCTAATTACATATGAGTATCAGTAGACTACTTGTACTCGTAGACCTTCGAACTTGGCAACGTCCACAACCTCCGGTAGCTTTTCTTTGATAGTTTGACAGTTTGCTTCTTATTCTCGTTCTAGGTTCGGCTGCAATGGATTGACTTGGGCCTGCTGAAAAAGTTGTCCGAATTAACCAGAGTCGGTACAATACATTATTATCTTTCGTACTCTGTTCGATACGGAATTTCAACTACGACCTGCGTACTTGTAACATATAAAGGGGGTAACTGATTGTCAAAGATTGTCATGCTACTAATCTTTGATACCCTAAGATTGCAACTGATCTCCCAAGACTCTCCAAATTCAGTTGTTATTTTCAATACATCCAGGCAAGTACAGCCCAAAGTTTATATTGCCAGAGTTGTTGTTAAATTGATACAATGTTGTTTGTGGTTAGAGCGAGAGAGAAATGAGGCAAATTATATTCTGGTAAATGCATATGAAATCAAACAATCACTGTAACAGAAGCGCGCACACCGTAGGCAGGTAGGTAATCCAGATGTGGGTACGGCACCCCACCATGCCGGGATTATAGCAGTTGCACTTGCTCTGGCTAACCAAAATCGGCCACACTTAAAGGAGCTAATAAGCAAGCTACAAGGATCATACCCCTGGCCGGATCTGTCGCGCCTTTACGTGTCCGCGTATCTGCCTCTTTGCACATCCCTAAAAAGGTCCCAACCCAAGGACCTGCCTCCTGGGTAGACAATGTGAACCGTACGTGCAAGTGTTGGCTTTGATACGTATCTTCAGGTCAACTCCTGCCAAAAAGACGAACAACCAAGTCGCGATCACACGTTCTGTCTCTGTTGGTGTCTAATAATAGATTACGTGCTCTGGTTTCGGAGGCATCTCTCCTCGTCTATCGCAGTGGGAGCCTCGATTTCGTTCATTACTTGTCGTTAACGATCTTTACCCGTCAGTTTGACCTAGTAGGTACTAATAGTACCGCTACCTTCCTTTGGGGCAAGTCTACCTCCTGAATTCTGCATTTGGCCAACCCGCTTGATCCTAGCAGATATTCTACACGTACACAAAGCTTCTCAAGCAGAGTCTAGTAACAGGATCTCTACTTCTATTTGAAGCTCCAAATCTACTCTATCGGTCTTTGTCCAGCTACCTGCTCGGACGGTTATCACTTTTTTTTCGAAAGGAGCCCTACACCTGCGAATGAAATAAAGCGAGATCCCGTTCGAACCTTCAAGCCTCGCGAGCGATCCCGAACCCCTGGCTTGAATCCAGGCCTATCGTACGAGTACAACACGCCCGAAGCAATACGCACGTGGAAACAGGTGGTGGGAAGATCCGTCGTGCCTCGCCAGGCTCTACAAATGCTACATGTACAAACACATCCCAAATTTTTTAACCTGATTGCAGGAAGCTATTCAAGACTTGGCACGCAAGAGGACGACTACCTAGCGTAGACGTTGGCATTCTCGAGTTGTCGAGACTTATACATCCTAGTCATACGGGACCATCTATCCGTTGCCGCATCCCCTGTCCCCTTTTACCATGGATCCAAGCCCCGAGCGTCGCGCCGATGATGAGGCTCCTTGTGATACGGACTCGCCTGCAACGGACGCAGCCTCGACGAAATCTCGCGTGAGCACGAACATCCCTGGCCACGACTCGATGGTCACGGTTCGGTTGTCCGAACCTCCCTCCTTGTCGGTGAATACAGATCTGCCTGTATCCGTGATGCCTTCAAGAAAAAGTGCACTGAGCCCTCAGTGTACACCTACTGGTGGTATCATCACCGACGAGAAAGTGGACAATGCGGGCTTAGAAGACGGCAATACTGACCAGGTACCCGAGACGCCTACGACTTCGTTCGGCGACGAAGAGGACGGCGATGACTCGACCGATACTGAGGAAAGTACGCAAAACGGCGATGCAGGAGAGTCTGACACGGAGGAAGTTGATTGGGACCGGCTTCAGAAAACCGAGGACGAGCAGGTTAAGGACCCAGACGACAACGTAAGTTTCACCGTACGCGTTGAGATAACCCTGCTGACTGGGAGCGCTTCTTAGTCGACCGCAATGCTCTTAGCAAGACTAGAACAGGAGAACAATAGGCTTGCCACAAACCCCAAGAGCGTCAAAGTGAAAGTTGTTGAACAGTTATCGGTGCGCCGTCCTCGGCCACCCTCGATGGCCCAGCTAAGGGATATGGTTAATGGCCCTACTCCCACAGCTTTACGATACTCGATTCTTCCTCCCCCGCCCTTGACCGACCTCGAATTTTACATGGCTTTGGTGAAGGATTACCAGCAGACAGCCGCCCGACTGCCCACACTACTTTCCAACAAAATTCGGAAGGGCATACCACCACCATTGCGAGGTGTGGTGTGGCAGAGCATGACTGGGGCACGAGACGCCATACTCTTGGAACAATTTGACCGACTAAGTGGCGAATCGAGTCCCTATGAAGGCATTATCGGCAAAGATCTGGGAAGAAGCTTCCCGGGTGTGGATATGTTTCGG